GCTGAACCTGTTTAACAGGTACCCAGCACCACAGTGTTTACAAAGGCAGCCAAAGCATGGCTCTGTCCAAGTGCAGTACCACTTGTACTTGGCACTTACTTACAGGCTCATCTCGCTTTTGCTCTCGCTCACACATGCACACACCCAAAGAGGCTCAAAGCACACCAGATGGGTTTGGATGTGGATAGGCTGCATTCAGGGTGGAGGGGCTGTTCTCTGGAGGGCCCCAATTCACCTGGCATTAACCTGCCAGCTGATGAGCCTGTCCAAGTGCAGTACCACTTGTACTTGGCACTTACTTACAGGCTCATCTCGCTTTTGCTCTCGCTCACACATGCACACACCCAAAGAGGCTCAAAGCACACCAGATGGGTTTGGATGTGGATAGGCTGCATTCAGGGTGGAGGGGCTGTTCTCTGGAGGGCCCCAATTCACCTGGCATTAACCTGCCAGCTGATGAGCACTTGGCAGTTGTCACTACTAAGCTCAACCGGTGCAGTGAACCGTAAGCTTTTAAAGCTATTTGAGCTTGCAGGACAGTCACCCACGGGCTCAGCTCTGCTGCAGTGCAAGCCTCAGGATGGCATCAGCCAGTGATTACTTGAGGGCCTTCTCTACCAAACCTCTCCCCCCCCCCTAAAAAAAAAGTGAAACAATAAAAAGCTGCAAATGTTATTTCTCAATAAATAGATGTGACAGCTCCCACATGGCAGTGAGGAGTCTGCACAGGCCTGTGGGCGGTCACTCAGCACTGCTCCCTCCCCCCGACATGACTCACTCATGAGACTACTCCAGACCCAGCACAAGGGCTGCATCTACCCCTAAAGACCCTGGGGCTTTGGCCCCTCTTCCCAAGCACACAGAGGGGGAAAGTAGGTTCAGCCCAGCAGGGTCCTAATGTGGGATCCAGGTGAGGGGCGAGGGGATTTAAGGCCTCTAGGTGCAGGTGGCTCAGTGAGGGATCCAGAGTGGGGGGCCCTCCAGCTACAGGGGAGAGGTGCAGCAGGATGGGTGTGGGTGGCTCAATTGGGAGGGTGTCTGGGTCCAGATGCAGAAGTGTTAGATGAACTAGGGAGCAGCACCAAGTACAGTGCTCCCCAAGTGGCTGAGGAGCAATGGAGGCAGGATGCATGTGGTCTGGGGAGCGCCACGCATCCTGCCACCAGGGAAGGGTTGGTTTTTTCGAGCAGGTCTGCCCTGACTTGGGACTAGCATTGGAACCAGCACAGGGGAGGAACCCACAGCTCCATGCTGATTGACCTGCTGTGCTACGCACCTGAACGACACACCCACACTGCTGGGTGTGTGTGGGGCATGACTTGTTTCCCCTTCAAAAAGTCATTGTTTTCTGCAGGGCAGCAAACCAGTGGGTTGGGGCCGTGCTCTGCATGACTGCAGCAGCACAGCATTCCCCAGAAGTACAGCGAGCCAAGCCAACATGCTATTTACTGAGCTGTGTGGCTTCAGGCTGAATGTAGCCCTGCCAGCAACTGAGCAGTGGGGTGGGGGAAGACAGAAGAGAGCATGTGAGCTGCACTCTGCCCCCATTCTAGCGGCCAGTCCATCACTGTAGCTACCGAATAAACCATGAAGTAAAAACAAAGTGTGAGGGATTAAAAATACATTGGCGCCCCTGCTGCCCTCCAAGCAGCCATAATGCCAACCCCTCTTTGAGCCAGGCTAGTGGGGGAGCTGATGCTGGTGCACAAATGAGGCCCCCCCCCCCCCAGGGAAAGCAAGCAGGCCTAGTCTCCTTAGTGTGGTAGGAAGGCCAGGCTGAGGACAGAAGGCTTGACTGGGACAGGCAGGAGGGTGGAGTTCTTAGTGCGTTAACATTCCCCAATGAGCACGCAGTGGGTTTGGTGAGCCAGGCAGCCTATCTGCATTGGGGGAGGGCAGCTGAGTGCAGCTGGGAGGAGTATTCAGCACCTCAGGGCTGGGTTATTTACTGTGTTTATTTACTGTGGCCTGGGTGACACTGCAGCATCACATTTGCTCCCAGTCAGTGCCAGAGGGTGAGTGTTGGGGGAGGTGTGTGTGTGGGGGGGGGGGGGGGAGAGAAGCATGGGACAGTGGCAGTGCAAAGTCACAGTAGCTCTGAAGCCAGGGAAAACAGAAGAATGGGACTTGCTTGGGATGTCAAAATCAGGAGCAGAAGAAATGAGCTGCAAAAGCAGAGATACTGGAGAGATGGGTGACCCTCCCATTGGTTCTGCACCCATGACCACAGCCATTCAGCCAAACACACATCTGTCTCATTGCATCTGTCTCACCTCCATCCATGCTCTACCCCATACATACATCCCTATGCACTCACCCCTCCCCTCAGACAGCTATTCCCCTCCCATCCGTGTCCCTGGACTAACTGCCACCTTGTGCTGGCTACACCCACTGGTTGGTCTGGCCCAGGTCTGTGGGAAGGTGGATTGTTCCTGATGCTGCCTCTCCTGCTGGAGCCAATTTGATGCTATCAGCACCTGATCAACTAACCTCAACGCCTCTCTCTTGCTGTTTCTCTGGTATGGAAGCAAAGTGCCTGTGAGTGGCATGGTGTCCTTGAGGAGCCCTGACTCCTTGTCTGACTTTCCCTTGGCTGTCACACTATAGGAATGTGCCAGAGTTCTGTACCTTGTTATTTATCGCTATGACCGTGCCTTGATTAAAACAACTTCGCCCAGTTGTAGCCTGCAGTAAATGCCACCTGTTTACACTGCAGCACACCTCACTGAAGCAGCAGGAGAGGCAGGGATGTGTGCCATGAAGGACATTGATGCTGGGTGAGTCCACGGAGAGCTGCTGTTACAGTGCATAAAAATAATGCCTTTCCTTTCTAAATCCGGGGCCTGTATTCGCTCTCTGGTCTCTTACTGCAGTGAGTATCTTGTAGCAATGTGGCTTCTTTTCCTTGGTTTATTTTACTGCCCTTTAACACAGAAGAGGTGCTCAGATAAACAGCTCCCCTTCCTGTCAGCCTGTCTGGCCCAGCACTGTCAGCGACACAGCTCTGTTGTGTCAAATAAACTGCTCCTGCTCACAGACTCCAGTCTGGGCTAGAGATGGGGCTGACCCAGCACCTGTTCCCTCTGATTCAGGGTACAAGAGGTTGGAATATGCTCTCCCTGGGGAAGAACTCAATTGGATTATTTGGATTCTTCCTATAACACATGGAACTTCTTAGACTCTGGTCTACACTAGGGCATTATTTTGAAATAACTTCCTTAGGTTGAATTTATAAGCAGAATGTCTACACTACCAAGCTTGTTATTTTGAAATAATAAGCCACTTATTTTGAAATCTACTTCTGCTTTTCCCAGGGTATGACACTAATTTTGAAATAGTTATTTCAAAATAGTGGTCGTGTCAACACTCCAGTGCCGCTATTTCGAAATAATTACTTCCCAGAGTAATTCAAACTGATTACTCCCTAGTGCTTCCTGGAGGTCTAAGTTGAGGTAGTGCATCCACATTAACGGAGCTTGCCTTGGATTAGTTTTGAGGCTTCCCCATAGTGGGGACATGCTATTTTGATTGTGTAAAATTGGGAGTTAAATTGAATGTAGTTGTTTCAAAATAATTTCCTAGTGTAAACATACTCTAGACCAGAGCTACTCAGCTTTGCAAGCCCCAAGAGCCACAATGATACTCAGCACATGCTGCAGACCACAACTTAAGAGTAGTTGCATATACATGCAAATATATATGCAAATAGCTTCTTTCACACTGACAGGCATGAATACAAAGATTAAGGCAAGACCACACAACACGCAGGCCCCATTTAAATCAGTTCTGCTGATATTAATAAAATGCAATATTTACCCAATTTCCACCCATATGACAGCACTTTTAATGAGCAATGACAATCCAGGAATTTAACTACTAAAACACATAGCAACAGAAGACCATTATATTGACTACTTTTTTGTATTGGCTCCTACCCGCGGGCCACGTGTTGAGCTCTGCGTAAACCCAAACCACACCACAGGCCGCAAACAAATGCACTATGGGCCGCATGCGGCCTGTGTGTTGAGTAGCCTTGCCCTAGAGCATGGGACATGTCCAGGTAAAGATCCAAGGATGGGGAGGGACTTGTCCCAGTGAGCCACCAAAAGAAGAGGCTGCTCACAGTAGGTTTTAAAGATGTTCAAAATGAAGTTGTGTTGCCATTCAGCTCCACTGGGCTAAGCTGAATGCACCACCACCCTTTCTCAGGGGCAAAAACTGTGCATGTGGGGAGAGCAGTGCTATCAAGCAAATACCACCAGCTTGTGGCACCAAAAAGAACCATCTCTGCAAGTAAATTGTGTCAATCTGTGACCCTCTCTTCTCTCGCATTACATGAGAAAAGACAGTGCTGAATTAAATGGCGACATTTAAATTATCAACACTTGGCATCTGCAGGAACCTAGCACCTAGACGAATGGAGCGATTTCCATCCCTCAAAGCTACTGTTCCAAGCGCCCTGCAGACTCTCCTCCACTTTGGGCTCTCCCTCTTCACCTTTTTGAAGTTTCCATCACAATCAAAGCAGGTAGAGGCTCTTTCTTTTTGTGACAGAGTCTGCAGGCCAAACCAGTAGCTTCAGAGAGGTACCAGCACAGTACACAGGCATGTCCCCAAGCCCTGGAGTGGAAATACCCCACTACAGGCTCCAAAGATCCGCTGTGCTGCGCCAGCCAGGGGAAAAGAGTTCCCCACTTTGCCTGATCTTATACCTTAAGCCAGAAGCACACTTTGTGCAAAATGGGGGAGAGGTAATGGACACACCAGGGGAGGAGGAGAAAGAAAACAAGGCGTATAGAATAGTGCCAGTGAGGCACATTCATGTTTCTCTTCAAAGCAGGACTTCAGGGCAGAACTGCTGCATAGAGTTGCTCCCCACCCCAGCACCAGTTCCATCTGCCCCCTGTACAGATCCAGCTTGGGAACTGGAGCTCAGGACAGCTGCACCTGCAGGCACAGTTAGCACAAGGCTGAAGGCAGCATCCTAACTGGATGCAAAGGGAAACCTTAAGCAATGCAGCTTGCCCTGCGGTGGGCTCCATGTAAATACTGGGTCATGGAAGATGGCTTAAGAGCCAGCCCCCACCCTCTGCTGGCTAGAACCAGCCTTGCTCCCATACCTGCGTGGACATAGTTGTGGGCGCTCCCTTCCCCACCCTGTCTTCCTTCTCCATCCTTCCTGTGCTTGCTTCTCTGCCAGCAGCTGCCTCCTCCACTCACCAGCTGCTCATCGGTCTGCAACCCAGCAGAGGGGAGCAGCAACAGCTGGCTGAGCAGGCACCACAGCATTACCGGTGGAGGGCAGTTTTCCTGCAGGGTGGCAAGAGGCAAGGGGGTTGTCTGAGAGTCACACCAAGGGCCTTATGTAAGGCATACAGACCCCTGCATCACTGCTTTTGAAAGAACAGCAGAGAAGTGAAAATTAAGACCTCAACCACCACACAGAGGAGTCAAAATAGCTTCAGAGGCTTTAATACATTTATCTCCTGGACTCTCCCAGCCAGGCAGCCTTTCCCCTTTAAGGGCACTCCTGCTCAGAAACAGCTTAGCACGAGCGCTGAATGGGACAGGCAAAGGGGTTTCTTGGTTCTCACCGTTCTATCGTATCATCTCTACTAAGAGCCTACCTGTGCTCCAAAGTCCTGAGGGAGCACAGGGCCCCCTACACAGGGACTTTTGACAGTTGCTGCTGCACAATTTATCCAGCACTGCTCTCCCTGGGACTCCTTGCCATGCTCTGGGCAAAGGGAAGGGCTTACCCAGTGAGCTGTGTGCTGCTGCAGGCAGCCATCTGCCCTGGCAGGCTCATGGTACAGTTACCATGGAAATCAGAGCTCCTGCTTCTGCCGTCATCATGATTTTTTTTTAAATAAAAAGCAGACAGGATAGAGACAAATTATCCTAAGCCTCCAGCAATGGAGACAGGGAAGCAACCTTGACTAGGGCTGTACAGATCTTGGGGGGCAGGGGTTGTGGGGGGGCTCCAGTGACTTCATGCACAGAGCTGTGGATCTAGCCTGTGAAGTTGTTAGTGCCCCTTCCTGCCCATACAATGGGCATTCTCAGGAGCAAAGCTCTTGGAGGAGGGAGGCTGATGGAGCTCACAACCATTAGGATAGGGTGCATGGCTAGGTATGGGGAAGTTGGTCTAGTGCACTAAACAGGAGACAGCTATGGCCTAGGGGGACAGTTTGGCGGTAGGAGGGTCACTGTGGTACAGAAGGTCAAATGAAAGGATGCACAGGGGTCAAGGAAAGCCTGGTGGCAGTGTGAGGCTCTGATGCAAGTGACCCCACACCATGTTTTGGGGAAGGGTTTCAGGTACAGCAGACAGGGCATGAGTGACAGGGGCAGGTGAGGAAAAGTATATTATGAGAATTAAGATCTTTGGGTTCCCCTGCCAAATTAAAAACAGAGCTGCAGGAAGGAGAGGTTACCAGGCCAAAGTGACTGCAAACCCCCAGCAGGGTGCATGGACATTGGTGATACTTCCTGACTCTCTCATCCCTCCACAGGATTATGGTGAGAAGAAATTATTTTCTGCTCCATTGTCCAGAAAACACACACACACACACACACACACACACAATAAATCCTTCGCAGATTTCAACCCTTCCCAGCTGGTAAACAATGAATTTCTCCCCTCTGGTTTCAGAGGCAAAGAAATTAAAATGGCTTGTGTGGTTGCTTTGGAGTCACTGTCATTAAAAGTTAGTTAATGCTAACTTTTAAGCCAATGTTAAAGAGCTAATGGAGGCTGATAGCTCTCACTTCCCTCCATCAGAGTGGAAGGGGTGCTCAACAAGGTTCATCGAGACTAACAGGATTGTTTAGAGCACTGTTATTCTGCACTTCAGAGCACTCAGTCACTCAAAGAAACCACTCAGCTGATTACAGCCATTTGCCTGTAAAACTCTCTCACAGCTGGGGCTAAAAAATTACATAATGCAGCCCAATGCAAAATGGCATAGCCAAGGTGTGGCTGTGGGGGGGAAGAGTAGTAGAATAGGATTGAAAGCCTCTTCAGCAAAAGCATCTTTGTAACCTGTGGCCTGGAAAATGCTGCTATGATAGGGTGGTCCTACAGGAAAGCCACAAAACACCCTCAGTCAGTACCCCAGTGTGCATTAGAGAAATGACCCTTCTCTGATCTGGGATACAGAAGCTGTATTGCTGCACTCTCCAATCCTGAACACCCCTTTAGCTCATCTCCAAAGTGCATATAGAGTGATCAAAGCATGAGGTTCGAAGCCTGGAGACCTGGCTTTGCCTCAAAACATGATTCAGCTTCCCCCATAAGCAGGCATGATGCAAGCCCTTAGAGGTGACTTGCAAAGAAAAAAAAAAGTCTATTGAGCTTCTGTATGATGGATAAAAGAAAGCAGGAGGAGTTCTCTGCTTGGTTTTCTACTTGGAATTCAGGTCTATGCCCCCTTGATCACACTTCTGTGCGGTGCATTCCCTGTTACCCCACCCCAGAATAGCTTTCATCCAAGCTCAATCTGCTGCTCAACTGAGCAACCAACTTCCATGGGGCACTGCCCTTTTCTTTTCCAGAAGGAGCAGAGGCTCCTATTCTCATGGGTTAGACCTGCAGGATTAAAACAAGCTAACATTCCAGGAACGTTCCAATAGCCAGCTGTAAAGCGAGCCAGACTGCAGCCCCACGGACGGCTCATTTTAATATCTAGCTCTCAGGACACACTGCTGGAGCATGCTCCACTGCCTCACCCTCAGAGCTTTGTGAGGGCTGTTTGAAAACACTCACAGTTACCTCTCCCACCCAGCGTGAGCTGGCCTCCATTTTGAGGAAAGTGCTTGGAACCGGTGCTGGCTCCAGGGGATGTATGGGAGTTCCCCACAGGAATTATGGGAATTTGAAGTCTTCTCCCACAATTCTCCAGAGATCACCAAGGTAACCCACTAGGCATTTCCAAATCTCCCAGAAGCCAGTGATCCTGAGTACTATGCTGGTAACTGGGGATACAAAACAGTGACTGCAATGGGACAGTATAGTAGGGAGCTCAGTCGGGGCAAACCCCACAATATTCTTTAACCTGAAGCAACATGGTTAGCATGAATATTTTGTACAACAGGATTTCCCACAGGGCTATGGCACTGCTTCCATTAGCAATGGTTCAGTTCTCCAGCATAGACACAGCTGACAGCAACTGGAGAATTAGCGCAAAGGCATGATCACGGAAGTGAGAGGAGAAGACGAACAATTGAGAGGGGAAGGGATTATTCGTCTGACTGCCCAGAATTGTTTGATCCCATTAGGGGCTATTTAACTCTATGGGTTAATGAGCCATTAATAAAAAGGACATCTTTGTTAAAGATTCAACAGCCTGCTCCTTCTAATAAGGGACATGGGAAAAAGTTCCCAATAGACATCTGAGGCCACTGAGCAGTCCTCCAGCAAAGCCAGGCAAGGCCAGACTTGACATTTGTGCGGTTTCCAAGAATCACGCAGAAATGAAATAAAACCCTCCCTCTCCCAGTCCCATGTTTTAACCTTTTGGGTCTTTTATTCTGAAATAATTAAGCCCCAAAAGGCAGCAACTTGTTTTTTTATTTAAAAAAAAAAAACACAACAACCCTTTCTAAGTCACCTTAAATCAGCCACTGAATGAAAGGTGTGGTTTAAGTACAAACATTGTTGCTGTACAGCTGTCTATTAAACACAGTCCAGGCAAGGCTAGGAGGAACACACACACACACACACAGCTGGTTTATTTCTCTTAGAAATTACACAAAACACGGCAGAGAGTAGATCAGGTTGAGGAGTTATGAAAGCTGGGTGGGAGAGGGAAGGCTTACAGTATTTGATGTAGTAGTTTATACCCACACGTGTCTATTCATCACACGCAGCTGCCCATTCGGCCACAACACACACAGAGAGCAAGTCTTAGACCTCATACATTTACAGCAGCATAGGAGGCATTGGATATGCACTGATCACCTTTCAAAACTCTACAGTGGAGCACCTGACTCTCCCTGCTGGGACAGACAGGCACAGTGCTGTTCTCCTGGATCCAAGCCTAGCTGCTCCCTCCCTAATTAGCTGGGAGTTGCAAACTAGAGGAGAGTTACCACATTCACCCAGCTTGGCTTTCAGAGAGGGAAGCAGTAAGAAGGGAGAGCTGGTACCATGCTCAGAGTAGCAGAAAAGGAAAAAAGAAGAATGGAGCCCAAAAACCTATAAGGAGAGAAAAGGAGGGTCCCTCTGGATAAAAGAAAGCTACAGCTATCAAAGATGCAGTGAATGGCAAGCATTTGATAACCAGCATGCCCACACTCGCCTCCCTACAATATGCAGTGGAGGGTTCTAACTGGCACAGAGCTGCTACCAAAACAACAGATTTGAGTGTTGTGAGAAGGTGAGGGATACTGGGTAGCAGTTTCATTAACATAACAGGAGTCATACCTAACTAGTGCTCGGATGGGAGATCGCCATGGAAAATCCAGGTCCTGTAGGAAGCAGTGCTGGACCTTCAGTAGGATGTGCTCTTCCCTCAATCAGTACCAATGCCCCAAGTAGGCTGTGCTGTGCTTCTGGAGGAGCAGTGCCTCAGATAAGGAATAAACCCGAGTTCATAGCCATGTGGGGTCATTTAAAATCCCATGGGTCACTTCACAGGAGTCAAGATCTTATTCCCAGGGTACAAATCAAATTCCAGTTCTACCCCTTGAACATTCCTTCTGTTTTCAATTGGATACTTACTCAATTCCTGTCCTAAAATGGGTCACAGCACTGTTGTATGCTGCTAATCAGACATCTTATTCCACACCAAGAGCGGCTGCATTTCAGTGAGAGGTAGAAGTTATCCCTCAGACTCCAGGAAGCCATAAATATGTAAGTGATAAGTAAATAGGAAGAATTACAGCTACATTCTCTTTAGCTAAGAACCATGATGGTTTTTGGAAGCTGCTCCCAGGAGAAAGCTGCATCTGTCACTTTGATTCTAATACAAAGTCTGTGTTTGTATTTATTTTGTATAATTTACTTTAGGGGAAGACAATTTAAAAAGCCCGGGTAGCTGCTGCACTTCAGCTAGCTATCACATTAAATCAGCCATCCAAATCATTCCAAATCCAGCCAGCTAGCAGTTCAGACCTGGTAAGAGAAGCCTTACATTGGGATTAACCCAGTTCCATGTTCAAAAAGCTACACTACTCAGCCTCTCCCTAGGAAATGCTCACAGCTGTGATAACCTTACATAGAAAAAGGACAGGGATCTACTCTAGGGCTAATGCAGAGGGAATAAAGAACAAGGATTAACCAATCTGCAGTGACTCCAGGAGAATATTTGTGTGTTGAGACAAATTAGAAGTTTGAGGGATGACAGCTTCAGTTTGTGAAAAGCTCATTCCATCTTTGTGGGCTGAAATGGCCACAGCCCAGCTCTACCCTGCTCCCTGGAGGTGGATGCCAGGATTCACTGCAGTGCAATTAAAGGGGGAATCACATTGACCATTGTCAGAGGCAAAGATGTGGGTAAGATCAAAGCAAGACAGAGAGCTACTGAGATAGCCCTGGAATGGGTGTGACTGGAAGGGGGAACTGACTCTGTCCTCAGAGCTGATTCTGGGCTAGGAACAGAAGAGCCAGAGACCAAGCTTGCTGGGTCTATTCCCCCTCTTTACGTGCATCCCAGCCACGGCTCATGGCTTTCACCACGGCACCATACAGCTTGGTCCAAGCCTCTCTCACATCTGAGCTGAAGGCAGTACTGAGGCATTTCTCCAGCATGAAGAGCAAGGATTCTCCCACTGCCTGCAAACCAAATAGAGGCACCAGGATCAGAGGTCAAGGGCAGAAGCTTCAGTACAAAAATG